TCACCGCCGCTGGGACGCCCGCTGCAGGACCTCGCACTGCCGCTGGAAGGTGGCCATCTTGCTGTCGAAGGCGGCCTCGGCCAGACGGAGCCGATCCACGGCGGCCCGAAAGCGCACCTTGGCCTCGTCGACGGCGCCCGCCACCCCATTGCGCAGAGCCACGGATAGCTCCTGCGCTCGGAGGGCACGCAACTTGGCCAAGTCCTCCACGAGGCTGGCCTGGGACCGCCGCTGGGCCTCCATCGACTCCTCCATCTTGGCGAGGATCGAGGGGAGAAAGTCGTCGTCGTTCGTCGCCTCCTCGCTCTCCTGACCCTGCAGCTCGGCGCCGACGATACTCTCCAAGGGGCCTCCGACGGCCTCCTCGCCCACCGCCGCGCTGAGCTGCGGGAAGGGCGGGACCTCGCCCAGCACCGTGTCCTCCTCGAAGGGGCTCTGGTGCTCCTGCTCGCTCGCGTCCACGCGCGCCTCGGAGCTGTCCACGACCTGGTCGGTGCCCTTGCACACGTCCACGTCCAGCTCCGCGCCGTCGCCGACGGACCCCTCCAGCATGGTGTCGTCGGCGTGGTCGTCGAAGGGGTTCCCGCCCACCTCCGTGGCCACCGCCGCGCTCGGCACCATGGGCGGAGAGGGCGGGGTCGAGCCGCCGCCGCCCGCCTCGGCCAGGTCCGGTTGCGCCGGCACGCGGGGCCCGCAGCGTCCGCCACGCTGGGCGCGCTGCGGCCGCACCAGGGCCTCCCGCAGGGCCTCCACGCCCTTGCCGAGGACCACGTGCGCCCCGACGTTGCGCCTGGCGCGGGCTGCGCCGCACGCCTGCACGCCCCGCAGCTGCTGGCGCATGGCGGGCTCCATGGCCTGCCAGCGCATAGCGAGCTCGGCGTCCTCCTCGGAGCCGCCGTCCGCCAGGAGCGCCCAGGCGGTGCGCAGCGCTGCGGCCACGGCAGCCGCGATCGCCTGCCGCGAGGCGCCGCCCGCCGCCGCTCCCTGAGCAGCGCCTTGGACGGCCATCGCGATGACCAGTCCAGCGCCGTCCGACCGTAGATCCATCCCCTTGGTGCCGCCGCCCGACGCCGCCATGGCAGGGGCCGCGACACGGGGAGCAGGACAGAGCCGCTCTCTCCTACGAGAAGGAGAGGCACGGCGCGTTCCTGCCCACCCTGGCACCAGGGCAGGCTTGAGCCAAAATGGCTACGGGTGTGTGTGTGTGTGTGTGTGTGTGTGTGTGTGTGTGTGTGTGTGTGTGTGTGTGTGTGTGTGTGTGTGTGTGTGTGTGTGTGTGTGTGTGTGTGTGTGTGTGTGTGTGTGTGTGTGTGTGTGTGTGTGTGTGTGTGTGTGTGTGTGTGTGTGTGTGTGTGTGTGTGTGTGTGTGGTGTGTGTGTTGTGTTGTATGTTGTGTGTGTGTGTGTGTGTGTGGTGTGTGTGTGTGTGTGTGTGTGGGTGTGTGTGTGTGTGGTGTTGTGGTGTGGTGTGGTGTGTGTGGTGTGTGTGTGTGTGTGTGTGTGTTTGTGTGTTTGTGTGTGTGTGTGTGTGTGTGTGTGTGGTGTGTGTGTGTGTGTGTGTGTGTGTGTGTGTGTGTGTGTGTGTGTGTGTGTGTAGTGTGTTGTTTGTGTTTGTGTGTGTGTGTGTGTGTGTGTGTGTTTGTGTTTATTGTTGTGTGTGTGTGTGTTGTCGCGACGCGAAATAAAGTGCTCGGAGCGGAGGGGGCACGAGGCGGAGGTTCCATTGGGGCGCTCGGGGCGCGGGGAGGAGGGGGGGGGAGGTGGTGTGCGTCGCGACGCGGAATATTATGGTTGGGGCGGAGGAGGCATTGGGCGGGGCTTGGGGCAGAGGGCCACGGGGCGGGGGCCCAACTGGGGCGCCAGGGACCGGGGGCGGGAGCGGGGGAGGTGGTTTGCGTCGCGACGCGGAATCAAATTGTCGGGGCGGAGAGGGCACGGGGCGGAGCCCCCACTGGGGCGCTGGGGACGCGGGGAAGGAGGTAGGGGAGGTGGTGTGCGTCGCGACGCGGAATGAAGCGTTCGTGGCGGAAGAGCAGTGGGGCTGAGTCCCGCTGGAGCGACTGGGAACGCGGTAAAAAAAAAAGAGAAAAGAAAGAGAAAAGGGGGGGCTCGGGGTCAGAGAGCAACGGCGCGGGGGTCCCACTCTGCGCTGGGGGACGCGGGGGGTGGATGCGAACGCGGAATAAAGCGTTCGTGGCGGAGGGGGCAGTCAGTGGGCGGGGCTCCCGCTGGGGCGCTGGGGGCGCGGGGGGGCACGGGGCAGAGAGCCACGGCGCGGGGGTCCCACTCTGGCGCTGGGGACGCGGGGGGGGGGTGCGACGCGGAATAAAGCGTTCGTGGCGGAGGGGGCAGTGGGCGGGGCTCCCGCTGGGGCGCTGGGGACGCGGGGGGGCTCGGGACAGAGAATCACGGCGCGGGGGTCCCACTCTGGCGCCGGGGACGCGGAAGGGGTGGGTGCGACGCTGAATAAAGCGTTCGTGGCGGAGGGGGCAATGGGCGGGGCTCCCGCTGGGGCGCTGGGGACGCGGGGGGGGGGGCTCGGGGCAGAGAGCCACGGCGCGGGGGTCCCACTCTGGCGCTGGGGGCGCGGAGAGTGGGTGGGGGGGGTGGGGGGGGGGGGGGTGGGGGGGGGGGTGCGACGCGGAATAAAGCGTTCGTGGCGGAGGGGGCAGTGGGCGGGGCTCCCGCTGGGGCGCTGGGGACACGGGGGGGCTCGGGGCAGATAGCCACGGCGCGGGGGTCCCATTTTGGCGCTGGGGACGCGGAGGTGGGGGGGTGGGGGGGGGGGGGGGGGGGGGGGCGACGCGGAATAAAGTGGTCGGAGCTCTAGACACCCTGTGCAAGAGAATAAACTCCAATCGTTCCGTTCCGGGCCTCCGGAGGGACCAGGGGCGCCCTGAGCCAGGAAGTCAACGAATCGCTACCGGTTACAAATAAACAGTCATCGTTGCGTTCCAGGCTCCCCCCTCCTCGTCCTCCTCGTCCTCCTCGTCCTCTTCCTCATCCTCCTCTTCCTCCTCCTCCTCCTCCTTTTCTTCCCCCTCCTGCTCCTCCTCCTGCGAGGACTTCAATGGAATCCTTCTGCGGAGGATCTCAATGGGCATCCTTCCGTGGAGGCGTGGAGGATTTCAATCGGAGTCTTTTTGCGGCGGATTTCTTAAGGTCCCAGTAAGGGCCCAGGGAGGCAAAAAAATCAGCGAATCGATACCGGATACAAAAGGAACTCTAATCGTTCCGTTCCAGGCCTCAAGAAGGTTCCTGGAGGGGCCCAGGGCGCCCGGAGGCCAAAAAATCAACGAATCAATACCGGATACAAATCAACGAATCAATAATCAGGAAGGCCAGACGAAGAGGAGGAGGAGGAGGAGCTCCAGTGCCTGTATCATGTATACACCACAGCGCTGGCAGCTACGAGCGCCGCGCTACGACCGACGCACCAGTGCCTCTCAGAAACAGAACAACACTGCGTCCCTGAGAGCACCACGCGGCAAGAATGCAACGGCTTCCCCTCGCGAATACCAGCGTGCCTCTGAACACTACAGTAGCCTGTGAGCGCCACAGGACGTCCGCGGTCGCCACTGGACGACCGCCGTGACGTGAGGGAGGGGGGGGGCGGGGCCGGTCACGCCCGTGGTCGCCGGGAGGTTTTCCGAGCGGGCTCTTGTTGTAACCCGGGGGCCAGGGGCCCAGTTTGAGGAGGAAGACGTTCCCTGGTAACAAACAGGGTTCGAGCGCGAGGAGGGACACTTCAATTGAAAAAACAATGTGCACTGGAGGGGGATCAACAAACATTTTTCTTCTGCAATGAGAGCTCAACCAAAACAACAATATCAACAACAGCAGCAGCAACAACAACGACAACAATATCGCCATCAAGATCAGCATCATCACGGGCATCCTCATCTTCGTCCTCGTCAAAAGTATCAGCATCACCCCAGCATCAACATCATCAATAGCATCGCCACTCTCGCCATCGTCATCATCATCAGCAGCATCATAATCCTGATCAGCATCAGCAACATCATCATCAGCATCATCATCATCATCATCATGATCATGATCATGATCATGATCATCACCATCATCATCAGCATCATCATCATCATCGTCATCATCATCATCATCATCATCATCATCATCATCATCATCATCATCATTATCATCATCATCGTCAACATCATCAGCATCATCATCGGCATAATCACCACCATCATCATCATGACCGCCACCATCATCATCACCACCACCACCAGCGTCATCCTCATCATCATCACCACCACCACAACCACCGCAGCCATCCTCAGGAGCATCATCTTCAGCATAATCACCAATTCAGCATCATCATCAGCATCAGCATCACAATCATAAGCAGAATCATAAGCACATCAGCATCAACATCTCATCATCATCCTCATCATCAACACCACCATAATCATCATCGTCATCGTCACCATCATCATCAGCATCGCCATCAACATCACCGTTATCATCATCAGCATCAGCATCATCAACATCATCAGCATCATCACCAATCATCATCACAGCAACCATGATCATCAGCATCATCGTCACCCACAACGTCAGCATCATCATCAGTAGCATCGTCAGCAGCATCAGCAACGTCATCATCATCATCATCATCATCAGCAGAAGCATAATCATCAGCAGCATCAGCATCATCAGTATCATCAGCAGCAGCATCAGCATCAGCATCAGCATCAGCATCAGCATCATCAGCAGCATCATCATCACCATCATCATCCTCATCATCCTCATCATCGTCGTACTCTCCGCCATCTCCTTCATGTTGCCTCAGCCTCCTCCTCCTCCTCCTCCAGCTCCTGCTTCTCCTCCTCCTCCCTCCTCCTCCTCCTCCTGCTCCTCCTTCTGCTCCTCCTCCTCCTCGTCATCATCATCATCAGCAGCATCATTAGCATCAGCCTCAGCCTCAGCCTCAGCATCAGCCTCAGCCTCAGCCTCAGCATCAGCAGCAGCATCAGCAGCAGCATCAGCATCAGCATCAGCATCAGCATCAGCATCATCATCATCATCATCATCATCATCATCATCATCATCATCATCATCATCATCATCATCATCATCATCATCATCATCCTTTGCCTCTTTCTCCTCCTCTTCCTCCAATTCCTCCTCCCATGTCCTCCGTCATCCTGCCTGATCCTCCTCCCCCTCCCTTCGCTGGCACGCCCAGCCCCTCTTACCGAGCGCGTAGCCGCGGGAGGGCCCCGCTGTTACGCCGTTAGCCGACCCTGGCCGGGCCAAAAGCCCGTCCCGGGCCAAAGGCGGGGTCGCAACCCTGAGATAACCAGAGCCAGGACCAAGGCAAAATCGGACCGACACAAATCCACCGACCCTTCGGCATGTGAGAGACGCTGTCGCCTTCGTCGTGGGACATGGGAACACGGGGACACAGGGACCACCCCCTCCAGGGGGGGCGCCAGCGGGGTCCTGGGGAAGGTCCCACCTTCAGGGTCGGCGGCACTGGCCGTAAGGCCTTCACCATCGGGGATCTCTGAGATCCAGCAGCTCTGAAGGATGCATCGGGCGCCGCGGCCTTATCAGAGCGTCCTGGAGCGCTCCGAGAGCGTTCTGGCACGCTTTGGAACGATGCATCCTGGTCCTGCTCCCCACCCGACGCGGGCCCGTTTGGCCGACGCCAGAACCCTTGAATATGGACATGTTTACGTCCCACTCCTACTCTCCACCAACATTCCGCCGGCGGACCCGCCACCGTCTTACGTCCGCCGGCTTCCGCTGGCGTTGCGCCGGCCTCCGCCGAAGGCGAGATGAGCCAAAGGCGGGACCCTTTCCAGAACGCCCCACCTGGCCGGCCAAGGTGGTCACGAAGTGGGGGAATGGCCGCGAGGGAACGGGTCGAGGTCACCTGGCGGCTCTCCAGAGAGGAGTGCCGAGTTACCCGTCTCAGGAAGCGCGGATCGCAATCATCTTCGCGCCCCCGCTGGTGCCCTCGAGAAGGCAACCCCAGCAGGCGGGCGCAGGATTGCACGCGGGATCGCGCGCGCGCGCGACCGAGCAGCTCGCGGCTACGTTTTACTCTGCGTCCTCGACATCAAGATGAAAGAGATGGCGGGCGGAGGGCTGGAGGAAGCGGGTTAGAGACAGGCGATCCACGGCCAGAAACCCCCTAAAACCCCGCACCACCTGGTC